AGCAGCTGGAGTTGGGAAAAAGACTTTTGGAAGAATGACTTTATTACCTCCATAAAATTAGGCTCATCCTTAAATCTAGTTAATCATGGCTGGCTAAACCAGCTTTGGAAACAGATTATATTTCCTATAGGTTGTACTGTTACTGTAAAGCTAAGCAAAGTGCAGACATCATAAAAGAGCTGTGTTGTCCCTCTTTATCCTGCAAGCTGAGTGGCAAATTCTGACCTTTTACCCAAGCATGTGGCACTTCCAGCGACTTTTACAACCTTTGCAGGGTTATAGTAATTTTACTGAGAGCAAAATCTGACTTCTGTTTTTAATATTAGTTTTACCCATCCTCACTTTTTTTCACCAGTATGTGATAGAAAACTTCCATAGAAACAAAGGAACTCAGTTGGCTTTTTGTAAAATTGTTAGGTAGGTAATCCTTTCTTGATTTCACTGGGAGCTTACGCTTCTGCAAAAAATCTATAGCCAAGGAAGGGGATATATTACTCCACCTCTTTCTTGCAGACATTTTACATTTGAGCAGTAAAATAGCATTGGAATTTATTGCCATCTTGGATATTGCATCTTCTACGTATAGCAAGACGCTTTGGGTTCATATTGCTGATTAGCAGGTAAGTAGAACATGTATCTTCTCTAGATCTGTGATTTCCTTTATCCAATATTCTCAAGTAGAAGTACTAATAGATGTCACTTAATGGCTTTATTTATCTGAGGACTTTAGCATGGACTGTTACAAAAGGGAAACAATGCTAATAAATTCTTAGTTTCCCTTATTGTTTTTTCCTAATGTATCTGTAGTAGCCAATAACAGGAACTGGCAGAATTGAAGTTTCCAGCTGCCTTGGCTGTTAGTCATATATGTTGCCTCATATTAATTCAGAAGGCCATGTTTCTGCTATCAGTCCTGGCACAGATGTCGATGTAAGTCTCATCAGGTGCAGCTAAAGCTTATTGGTTGTGGTGCTGAAATGTAATACTGTATTAATAGCCTTCAGCTTCCACCTAATCTATGGTAAAAGCTGAGGGGCAAACAGAATTTTCATTTCACAGGTGCAAACACCTGTAGGTGGGTAACAGTTTTAAAATGTTCCAACACCTGCACATATCCAGGTATGATGCTTCAGGGACAGTCTGCAAGCTGTGCATCTGCCTGAAGCACATTTACAGTGTGTTGACTTTCTGCTTTGCTTTGGTTCATGTTTTGCCTTGATACCATAGGTGATCATCCTCTGGAGGCTGTGGCCAGGGAATTTTTTGGTCACTTCCTCTGAAGCATTAAAGTGCATTACTCCTGATCTGTGTCTCCCCTAACTATATAAAGTCATTCTGCCTCTTAGCATTACACAGGGAGCAGAAAGCTTTGATAGGCTCTTTGAGCAAGATACCTGTTGGGGTTATTGATTTTGTGTACTCTTTTATTTGACCTGCTTAAAACAACTTTTAGCAGTTGACTAGGTTGTCATTTTCCTCCCCACATTCCTCTCATGAGAATTTTTAGACTCCTAAAAGAGAAAGCATACAATTCAAACAGTGGCCAACCTGCACAAACAGTGGGATAGGTATTTAGTTTCTGGAATATTTCTCCAGCTCTCATAGTGAGAGTTAAAGTGGATTTCTAATTTTTATTCCACTCATTACTAAACAGGAACACTGAGGTCACAGCAAATAAAGCAGTATGAGTTAATGAGAACGGCTTTAGCAAAAAGAGGAGGTGTTTCTCAGAGTACATCAAGTGCTTCACATATATTAAGAAATCCCAGCTGAATCGATTTAATAATGTTGGGATTTACACAATTATTACAGAGCCTTCATTATTCACCCAGCCTGCACATACCACAGCACAAATGAACATCTCAGTCTGGTGGTATTAACATTGCCATTTTCTAACCCATTCCCAGGCCATCTGCTACATGCTGATCATTCACTGCTTTAACATTTAACAGTTACCCAACTGCAACTTAGCAGATTTGTGTACTTTTGAAAACAGCTGGTTTAATAACTGCTTCAGAGCTTTTGGATAAAGAAATTATTTTGTAGTGCTTTTCAATTGACTTTTTTTAAAAAACATAAAAAATCAGTGCCTCTGAGAAATGGTAGAACAATTGCTGCCACAAATTTATGAATTTGCAACTCTTCATTTTTGTTATTGTCACAGAAGGAAAAAAATTTAATTATTTATAGAAATTTCAAGAAACCTCTTTTATCATTACTATTTATTTTTTGTCCTGTCTCAACTACAGAAGAAATATTTATATGCCTGCCTAATGTAAGAGTTTAGTATGTCAATCTGTGTGAAAGGCTCCAACTTGGAGCTTGTCATATACAACAGCAGACATGTAGCTTAAAACACAAAATCATAGCGTAATAGTAACAATTAAGTTAAATTAATAGTGAGCTTTGAACATAGCTGTGCTATAATCCTGACTTTCTAAACATGATGAGAATGTGAATATAGCGTGCATTCTTCCACTGCTCTTGATGTCACATGTTAATATTAGCTATGACTGACTGAAACTATTTGCTTTACTTTGTCTTTTGCATACTGCAAACTATAGCGATTTAGCTGCTCTTCTAATTTAAAAGATAGTCTCAATCATGAAGGGAAAAAAGCCTTTATCTTTCATGTGAAGCAGTTTAAGTGTATATATAAATATGTATATATGTGTACACATAGCTCTTGTTTATAACCATATGGCTTGCATATTACAAGTACTCTTCAGATGATGATTAACCCTTGCTTCATAAACATTCAGGTAGTTGTTGCTGGATGTTGACATTGATATTTATATCAGAAAACAGAATGGAAGCAGTTAAAAGAAATGTGCCACAAAAGTGACAATTCGTGAGAGTTTGAGCTTTATTTAAACACCTCTTCTTTTACACAGCCGTCAGTCAAAGTGACAGGATCCCTTAGATTAAATTTGGATTCTTCAGCACAAATTAATTAATCTGTCCAGTACTTCCTATCTCACCATTTCAATCAACCAACAAATAAACCCAATCAAGACTTCAATTCTTTGCTGATTAGCCAATAAACCATGACAGCAGGCTTGTGACAGTACTTCTGGGATTCTCACAGAAGCTTATTTATAGCAGGTAGCAAGTGTCATGATCAGTCTTCACAGAAACAAATGGGTGTACATTTCATTATATTTTTTTAACTAGCTTCATAATAACGACAAATGAAAAAGTGGAACAGCATAGAAACAAATTTGAGAAAAACATTATCTGAAATGGAGCAAAAACATAAAATTAAACATCTCAGAAATCACAGAAAATGAAAGTGCTTTGGCAGAATGTAATAATAGCTTTCAACTCCTGTCATTGGATCCAAAGCAGTGAGAAGTGAAAAACTGAGATATGCAGTGATCTGCACACGGCTGGCCAGCAGGTAAGTTACACTGGAAATGTCCTAATGTAGGAAAAAACACCGTATGCAGTCACTCCAAAGACTTTTTCTGTTTTACTAGGAAAGTTACACACTTTAGCCACATGAGGAAGAGAGAGCAGGAAGATCTCCAGATATGTCCTTAGAGCACAGCTCAGTTATTAGCCCATACTAGTCTGGTTTGGACCCTTGCAACTAGTTCTTTCCAAGACAAAGCCAGAGGACAGTCATGGGAACAGTTCATTCTGGATTCCCATATCTGAATATTCGGTGGAAATTTCAAGCTTTCTGCCTTTTCCTGTTTGAATCTGACAGCTAAAATTTCTTGCTTACAAAGGACTGCTCTACCATATAACTTTTGTTTGGTAGAATAGGAATGCAAACAGTTGGATTACTGAACATGACTCTAACCTAAATCTGCAACCATTAGCAGAAGGCACGGTTTTGGTTTTTATAAAGCAGAATAAAATTTTGCTCCTGGAAATCGAAAGGTTCTTTTCAGAACTTATTGTAAAGATCTCATTCAAGTTCCAGTTAATTCAGTACCAAAACTCAAGGGCAGCAAGATCAGGCATTAACAGAATAAAGATCTAATTCTCTCTTAATAAAATTCTGACTAGTGTTGTCAACAGATGTAATTTGAAAAGAGATGTGTGAGCAACATAAAAAAAACTTACTTACAAAATAAATATGCAGGGATTCTGTGACAAGAACACTATGGCTAATAGAAACATGAACCATTGTATTTTTGGAGTGTTAAGGAAATGAAATTACATACAGTGTAGTATTACCATGAGCATAAAATTGCATTATAATTAAATTTCTAAGTAAAATTTTAATACATTAAATAACTTAAAAATAACAGCAAAACAAAGTATGAATGAGTAATATTGGATTTCACATTATTTTCACTTCCATGATTACAGTTCTGAAAATAATATGCAAAGCATTATTAAAATGGCTTTTTCATGTCAACAGTTAAAATTAATATAATTAGATCCATTCAAATTTTGTAGATGTTGAAAGTAGGTTGATGATGAATCATAAAATATTTAATGTAACTGAGTAAGAAATTACAGAGAAACTATATTACAAGTTAAACATAGTTGATTTTAGATTGATTTCAGTTTTTCACCCATAATCTAATAACGGTTGTAACTATCAGCCAACCTAATATTTATATAAATGCAAATTAATATTTGATTTTCCTAGAGGACATAGTTACCTCTCATAACAGGCATTCTTTCTGTTTTGGAATGTCCGTCTTACTATTTTAAGATGAATACTGATTGCATGACTTCTGAACTAGCAGTAGTTCAGAAAGACCTATCTGTAACACAATTAATATAAATGAAAAAAAAATAATCTGGGGGGGCTTTGCCTTAGGCTGAAGAATGGCTTGAAAGGCTTCTACACTGATTTGACTGTTCTGTACATTATAAATACTGTAAGCTTAGTTCCTTAAACAGCTTGTCTCTGCTAACTTCTATTCAATATTGAAACGATTTAAATAATTTAAAATTATATGTCAGAATAATTATCGAGATTGAATTAATGTACACATATCTACATATCTGTTTGTTGTTTCTCTCCCACACTTTGCACATAAAGTCCTGTTTTCTTACAATCATGTCAACGTCATTGTTAGCAGTTGTATTTGGGACTTTTCTCCCTTAAAAAGCATGAGTGTTTTCCTCAATGTAAACTTTTTCACACTGCTTTAGCACTGTCCTTTCAAAATAAAAAACACTGTTACACTGAGAATGTAGGAATAACAATAGGTTGCAAAATAATGAAGAAAAGGTCTTTGTAAACGGCGAGGAGAAGCAGACAGGCCAACCCAATATGGGTGATAAGCAACTTCTACTTTATTTGTGACGCAGTTCACACATATATAGGAGTGGTATTCAGCCACTCCTTCTTGGCACAACAGTATTGGTTAGCCCCCCACAGCTTCCTCCACCTTCTCCTCCCATGTCCGGTCTCCGGCTACCTGTGGGGGCCACCCCCTGCCTTGCTTGCACAGTCCTCTGGGACTCTATGGTCCTGCTCTTAGAGTCATTCTGCAACAATTCCCCCCTTTTTCTTTGTGCGAGCAAGGCATTGTGGGTTATTCTGTTCACCTGTCGTATCACACAACTATAAGCAAGTCTAATAGCTACGATGATTAACCTAACAATGATACATAAGTGCAATACTTTAAACCGCAGTGTTTGACTCAACCTGTAATGCCCCGTGAAGACAACCATCTAGTTATTCTTAGGATATTGCTCATTTACTACTGCTGGGTAAGCTGAGCCAGGGTTCTCAGCTGTGCGTGCATCGAATTAGCATAATCAGAGAGACTCATGCAACACATTCCATCAAACTCTTCACATCCATATCCCTGTTCCCACAACAAAAGGTTCTGCAGTGTTGCATGTCTTACAGAGTCAACGTTAAAACAAATCAGAAATTGCCTTCGATGTAGAATTGTCTGCTTAGCAACTCAGCAACCCAGTCTGCTTAGTTGAGCCAAGGCCCCGGCTGAAGCACTTACAGTGATTTGGCATATTATGATTGGATACATGTTTTGAAGACCCTTAGTGACTAACATATAATTGGTTAAACACAGGTGTGAGAACTCAACCTTGAAAGCTTGCCTACAGTCCACAGTTCTCATTAACTTGGTGAATTCCAGCCCCTTATCTTGCTTGCTTAAGCTTCTTCGGGCCTCCCATGGCCTTGCTGTATCTTTCAGGACTATTCAAAGTTTATGTACCATTTATGTATTCTCCTGTGAGAACACTGCCTCCACATCTTCCCCCTTTATGTTTTATATATGGTTTGGGTGACCCTACTCGAGCAGGGGATATGGGCTAGATTATATTTCCAACATATGCCAACTAGAGGCTGCCTGGGCCTGCCCCTTTTTTCTGCTGTATGGCTCTCTGATAACAGGCTGTATAGCTCTCTGATCCTTCACATCAAGGTCTGGCATGGCATGTGTCCCCACCGCTCCATGCCTGCTGGGTTGCAGCCAACAGCGGAGCTAAAGGTTCTTCTTGGTGGCAAACACAGAAGCCAACCCAGTCTTGCCCTTGATTGTGGTAGCAGGCATTTGGTCAGCCTCAGTCCTTGCACCTTGTTGTCAATGCACAGTTTCACCTGCTTCATCCAGTAACAAGTGGCTACTACAGCAAGGCACACACAAATTTACATTAGCAGAGTAACTATTACAGGGTGCAGCAGCATGTTGAAGATGCTGATGGCAGTGAAGGACTAGCCAAAGAAATTTCTTACCAGTGGAGTTCTCCCCCCCTCTTAATTTGTTCCATCACCTGCTTTATAACACTACCATTGTATTAAATTTTTTCTAGCTTTTGCCTTAGCATTTTCTAGCAGCTACTGCAAATTCCCGTACTCTAACATCTCTTTTACAAGTGACAAATCTATACAAGGTGCAGTTTCTTATTAGCAACTAGCTAGTAAATACAGGTGGTTTTATACACAAAATCACAACCTCTAATAATAGCTATTTTACAAGCACACATATTCAGGATGTTACTTTTCAGTTGCCCCCAAGTGATGTTTTGCAGTTATTTGTTATTTCTCTTCCTTTATCTCATTCTGCTTGGGGTAATCACGGTCAGCTCCTGTAGCTGAGGCATCAGGTTTATCCATTCATCTGTCCAGCTCATGGCAAGGCTTGACAAACTTTGCAGGCAGTCACCGTGGACCTGTAGGCAGGAGGACACAAATATACCCCCTCCCCCAGGCTATCAGTTCTTCCGTTCTTGAGAAGTAGACAGGTTAAGCAGGTTAAGTGCAGCATCATTACTCTCTCCCCCCATCATTTTTTTTTTTTTTTTAGTCCCTGCAAAAGCCATCATTACTCCCACTACAGTCCCACGTACAGAACGTGGCACAAGGACCCTGTGGAGACTAACAGCAACCCAGCTCCGAGAAGCATCATTGCAGTGCGAGGTGGCAGGCTCAACCTTAGCGGGCGTCCCCGCAGAGGCTCTGCCTCCCCCACATTGTATGAGGCTTGGGCTTTTATACTGACCAAAATGCACACTCATTCTGACACAGGTGGCCAGCCTGTGCTGGAAGAAGTGGCCAGCAGTATCTACAGAGGTCTCCAAGGGTTGATAGAAACCTGGACATACTTATATTTACCAACTTCTAGTACATGAGTATCACAGAGAAACTGTATGGGCTCCCCCTGTCAATTGCAAGAAAAAATCATAACATATACAGCTTGAGTATAACAGGATTTTAACGCATACGTGGTCACTGTTTGTCAGGCCTCCTTAACTATTTTGAGATCAAAAGCTTCCCACTCTTTTAGCCCCCTGCTGTGTAGTAAACACAGGATATGCAGAGATGCCCATTGCAGAAAATTCACCAGTAATGATCACATATTTGGTTACCCATTGTTACAACTGAGCATCTCCAGGGCCAGTGAGTCTGAGCAGACCGACCCGGGAGATGAAGAGTCAGGGTCTGGAAGCAGAGGATATAATTCTGGCTCGGATTCAGGGGATTCAGGGGCTGATCCTGCACCGAACTCGGGGTCTCTGTTGCTCGCAGCTGTGTCTTTCTTATCAGATATATCCCGTTCGGTATGTAGCCATCTGCAGACCTGGCTCCTCCGTGACTGAATTAAGAATTTTTTCACTCTAAGGCATAGTGGGTTGGAGAGGCTCGCGGTTCCTTTAAATCTCCCGCTCGCGCATGATCCCTATTTTCTACTGCGTGCTTCAAAATGGCGCCGCAATCGATCCGGCGCCGAGGCACCGCCCTCTTTCTTTCGGATTCCTCGACTTTTATCATACGTATCCCTTCTAATATACTTTCTCTGTCCTTTTCAAAGTCCCTACTTTCGGAACTGGGGGGGTGGGGGAGCAGGGGGTTACACCTCCTCCGCAGCACCTTCTGATGGAGGGGGAGAAAAAGAAGGGGGGGGTAGGGGGGGGGTGGGGGGGGGAAACCCTGTGCTCCAGCGAGTTGGGGGGAACGAGTTGTAATCTTCCCCCGGTTTCAACCGACCGGGGACATCTGCTCCTAGTTTCTCCGTTGCTACAGCGGCAGTTTTCTGCCTTGTATCCTTTTATACAGTTCATTACTTCCCTCCGTGGTTTACCGAGTTTCTTTGCCTTTTTATAATCATTAAGCACTGAGTCAAATAGTTCATCACCAAACTTTCGCCACTCACTCTCCTCAAATATTATATTAGGATCTGCAAAAAAAATCTCTTAGCCTTCCCTAGCCACTAGACCTGCTAGCTGCTTTAGAGTCTCAGGCTCAATTCCCCGCTTTTATAAAAAGCACTGTAAAAAGTTCAGGGCTCAGTTCCCCGATTTTATAAAAAGCACTGTAATAAGTCCAGGGCTACCTCTCGGTCCATTTTCATGGCCAGCCTTTTCCAGATCGTTTTCTTCTGGGTCGTCCTGTAACCTCGGTCTCCGGATCGGCCTCCCGACGCAGCAGTGTCTGGTTCACCCCAGCGGCGGATTCCTTTCGGTTAGTCCAAGCACCCGGGTCCGTCACGCCACCGCAGCAGCATTGCCTGCGCTTCCCGGCCGCTGCCCCCGGCGCTGCTCACTCGCCGTTCCAGATCCCCATTAGCCGGGGCCCTGTATCCGGGTCCCCGTTGACCGGGGCCCTGTATCCGGGTCCCCGTTAAACCGGGGCCCTGTATCCCGGGTCCCCACTAGTCGGGGCCCTGTATCCAGGTCCCCGTTGGCCGGGGCCCTGTATCCGGGTCCCTGCTAGTCGGGGCCCTCTATCCCGGGTCCCTGCTAGTCGGGGCCCTGTATTCCGGGTCCCCGCTAGTCGGGGCCCTGTATCCGGGTCCCTGCTAGTTGGGGCCCTGTATCCGGGTCCCCGTCGCCCGGGGCCCTGTATCCGGGTCCCCGTCGACCGGGGCCCTGTATCCGGGTCCCCACTAACCGGGGCCCTGTATCCCAGGTCCCCGCTAGTCGGGGCCCTGTAATCCGGGTCCCCGTAATCCGGGTCCCCGCTAGTCGGGGCCCTGTAATCCGGGTCCCCAGCGACCAGGGCCCTGTAGTCCACGTCCCTGTTCGGGCGCCATTTGTAAGCGGCGAGGAGAAGCAGACAGGCCAACCCAATATGGGTGATAAGCAACTTCTACTTTATTTGTGATGCAGTTCACACATATATAGGAGTGGTATTCAGCCACTCCTCCTTGGCACAACAGTATTGGTTAGCTCCCCACAGCTTCCTCCACCTTCTCCTCCCATGTCCGGTCTCCAGCTACCTGTGGGGGCCACCCCCTGCCTTGCTCGCACAGTCCTCCAGGACTCTACGGTCCTGCTCTTAGAGTCATTCTGCAACAGGTCTTTCCAGGTTTCAGAGCAACACTTGGGATTGTGACACATTTTATCGTTGGTGTTGTTATGTTTCATACCTTTTGTAACATTGGCTGCTGTAGGCTTAAACAACCTGATGTGTAGAACATCAGAATGTACTGTGCTGTATGTCATCCAAGAAATCTTTGAAGATATTGTTAGCAAAAAAGCATATGATTCATTGAAGAGAAACAAACCAAACCAAACCACTAAAAATACAGGAAAAATAAAATGTTCATTCACTTCACTAGGAGTTAGGTCAGAATAAGAAATATATATATGGGCCTGCATTTATTCTGGTGAATGAATTCATCATAAAATAGGTATGCTATGAACATATTTGCTTTCAGGTGCCCTGATAAGGACACATATAGAGACATACATTGTATCTTTTCCTATTTAACAGTATGTAAATCATGCTTCTTACAATATATGTTTTAATTTGGTTCCAGGAACTTCTCTGCAGATAAAAAAAGTTGCTGATGTTCAGATAAGGTGCACAACACTTAATCTTTTTAATGTGAACAGAAAATAAAAGATATTTAAAGTTTGGATTCAGAATTACCATTAAAAATAGTATCTGAAAAGAGAAATCCTCTGGAAATAATTTAATTGATTCTTTTGATCTCTTCTTGGGTAACTATCAACACTGACATATGAACTCTGGTCAGTCCTGTTGAAGTAAAGACAGTATCACTGCAGCTGCTTGCCTTTTTTCTCTACATGAGGTGTCTATTTCTACAACAAAACTATTGAGAAGGAATGACCACCTACACATCAGTAGGTGTCTTGGCTGAGTTTGGTGCTTTGGCTCATATATACAGTTAAACTGGGTTTGCATTAAGATGCCAGACACTACATGGAAACACATGAACTATGGGCACACATTCTCTTTGGCTAATTCTTCTGTGGAAGTGGTAAAATTTATCAGGTGGCTGCTGTAGTAACTTAAAATGCCACAAGAGTTTTCAAGTGCCCTAAATCCCACAGTCTGAATAGTGAAGAAGAAAAATTTCCACATCTTCCTGGGTTAGCATTACTACCCAGTTAAATCTTCAGATAGATAACTTCCTATTTATGCTATCTGGAAGACCATTTTCAGATAGGTTTGTTGGGTTTGGTTTTTTTTTTCCCCACACCTAACTTATATCTTTCCGCAAAATTTAGGTTCCTATCTCAAGGACAAAAGAATTTCATTGAAAAAAACTTAAAGAGATTTGTTCATAAAACACATTTAGTAAATTTATACATAAAATTGTCTTAAAGATTTGTGGAAAGCTGATTTTAAATTATTTAATTTTAAATGTCGTGGTTTAAGCCCAGCCGGTAACTCAGAACCATGCAGCTGCTCACTCACTCCCCGCCGTTCTTCCTCCCCCCTGTCCTGAAGGGATGGGGAGGAGAATTGAAAGAATGTAACTCCCGTGGGTTGAGATAAGAACAGTCCAGTAACTAAGGTATAACACAAATCACTACTGCTGCCACTAATGATAATAGTGATAAGGGAAATAACAAGGGGAGAGAATACAATTGCTCATCACTCACCAACCGATACCCAGCCCAACCAAGTAGCAATCTAGCCCTTTCGGGTAACTGCCTCCAGTTTATATACTGGCCATGATGTGCTGTGGTATGGAATACCTCTTTGGTTAGTTTGGGTCAGGTGTCCTGTCTCTGCTTCCTCCCGGCTTCCCCTCCTCCCTGGCAGAGCATGAGACTCGCAAAGTCCTTGGTCAGAGTAAACATTACTGAGCAACAACTAAAAACATCAGTGTTGTCAGCACTGTTGCCAGTCTGAAAGTCAAAAACACAGCACTGCACCAGCTACTAAGAAGGAGAAAAATGACTGCTACTGCTGAACCCAGGACACTAAACAAACCAGAGTTTTCTGTGAATATTTTCATATTGGAATGAAGATCTGTTTTGCCTCACAAACTGAAGAATTTCAAAGAAAAAATTTTAGAACAACTAAAGGGTCTTTCAGAGGAAATCTTGTTTTCAGAACGTATAATAGTTTGTCGTAGAATATTTACATTACTTTCTTAGGACAAATTCCTTACAGTTGCTGATGATGCATAATTGCACCCTATCACTGTCAAAACTTATACTTTTTTAAAATGTGCTTGTACTCATTGTAGTTTATTGGCAGTCAATGAGAATTTTGTAATAAATAGCTAAATATCATCAAACCACACTCCTGTCTTCTTTTCCTCTGGTCAAAAAAATTAGAGAAGAAAAAGTTAACTAGTGTTTAAATAGAAATCTGAATATTCAGCCATCTTCAGCATCTGAAACCCCAGTTCATATTCCTTCTGCAGGGTCCCACATTTGCAGCTGCAAAGTGAGGCTAGAACTAATCAATTACATATTACCACTACTGGTTAACTCACACCACAAACAATTTTTATTAATCAGTTAAGAAAGACTGGAGACTTATTGCATGCAATTATTTCTAGTTTAAACACAGTGAAATAGTGTCTTCTCTCAGAAAATTATACATGCAGAAAAGTTTTCTTGTCTTCAGAAATATGAAGCAAATAGGTATTTGCATAATGTGAACAATTTAGTTTGCAAGTGTCCTGGGTTCAGCAGTAGCAGTCATGTTTCTCCCTCGTGGTAGCTGGTGCAGTGCTGTGTTTTGACTTCCAGCCTGGGAACACTGCTGGTGATACCGATGTTTTCTGTTGTTGCTAAGTGACGTTTACCCTGACCAAGGACTTTGTGAGGCTCATGCTCTGCCAGGGAGGAGGGGAAGCTGTGAGGAAGCAGAGACGGGGCACCTGACCCGGGCTAGCCAGGGAGGTATTCCACACCACAGCACGTCATGCCCGGGGTGGGGGGGTAACTGGGAGTTACCTGGAAGGACACGGGCTTCTGGTTGGGACTCGTTTCTTGGCCGGTGGTATTGTATTCTCTTCCCTTGTTATTTTCCCTTATCATTGTTGTCGTTGGTGGTAGCGGTGGTGATTTCTGTTGTACATTGGTTGCTGGACTGTTCTTGTCTCAACCCGTAGGAGATGCACCCTTTCGATCCTCCTCCCCGTTCCTCTGGGAGCAGGGAAGGGAAGAGCCCCGGTGGGGGGGGGGGCCTCGATTGTTGTCAGCCCAGCACCACTCACTGGGAGTGATTGAACAAGTTGCCTGACTGGGTTTAAACCACGACAGCAAGGAATGTGTGTTTGATGTGCTGAATGAAAATGACTTCAAGCATATGGTTATGTTGAAAAAAATTATAAAAGCTTTTTCAGACTTCTGCAATAAAGCCATTTTTAAGTGGCTTTCAGGTGTTTACTTACACATTATAAACCATTCTCTTAAAATCTCAGAAAAAACGAAAAAATATGTAATAGTAGCATATATCTGAACACACACATTTAGAGAATCTACCTATCTCCTTAAGTTTCAAGTTCAGCTTTATAAGTCTGTTTCTAGTAACTGATGAGCCTTTCCATTTTTATTCTCCCCCTCCCCCCAGTTCTTTTACTTTTGCCGTTTATTACGTTTTCACTTTGGGAATACACTTAATATCCCTTAAAAATATTTTGTGAGCCTTTACTACAACCGTAAGGAAACAGGAGAATTCAACAGAAATGTCATCTGTTCACCTTGAATTGGATTCTAAACTAATAAAGTGTTGGTTTTTTGGAAATCAAATGGACTTTTCTCTCCCCAGATTTACAGTTAATTTCTCTGATAAGACAGAGAGTATAGGAGAAAATTTAAGCACTTTAAAAAGAAAAAGAAGAAGAGTTCCTTTCAATGAATAAAGCCAAAATCTGGGAAATCCCTTATTTTATCCAGTTTTCTCTTTTCAGATGTGCAACACTAACTTGAATTATTTTTCAATAAACAACAAAGTATTCAGATGAGTCTCTATTTCATAAACTACACTGAACATATTCATTTTGAGAAATGTCAGAATTGCTGTAGCTTCTGAAGTCACACATATTTATGATTTTTGAATAATTAAAAAGGGAAAGGCTATTTTCATAGGAGTTGAAGCTTTTCATTGCCCCAAGACATTTCCTTCAAAAACATTTTTTTTTCAAATAAAGTGTAACAATACAAGAAGAAAAAAATAATTTGGGCAAAACCAGTGATTTATTATTTGAAGTTTCATTTTAACCATCAGATCGAAAAAAATCAAACGTTCACATTATTAAGAGTTGTCACTGATACTTTATTTCTCATGTTTCAGTGTGTTGATGTAAGTGTTGATTTCTGCAAAGGTCAGGAGACAGATTTTCTTCCACCTTTTACCCAAGTCTGCAGCATTAAATGCTTGGCTGGATGCAGTCACTGGGACTTTTGCCTTTCTCTCTAACATCTGCTATTAGTTATTGCCAAAGGCAAGATACTTTCTTATCTTGTATGGCAAATTGTAGGTGCTTTTTCTCTCCTCTCAGGCAAATAGGTCTGTTTAAACAGATATATAGTCTTTGAAATGAAATGCCATTCACAAAGCTATCATGAAAAAATCGAATAATACAAGAACAATTCAAAATTCCTTTCTTTCTCTGAATGGGTACCTTTTTTTTTTTTTTAATTTTACCCCAGCTTTTAGGGAAAAAAAGAAAACAATACTGTTCCGGTAGCTCAGGGAACAAAAATAACGCAGTTCTAGGCACCATTCTGCAGGCCTGTTTGTTGTGAGAGGGAGCAAGTATTCTAAGTGGGTAATACTGCCTCTGGGAGAGGCAGGGGATCTGCTGAAGGGAGTCAGGGGGAGGTGTTTGCTCTTACGTGTTTGGCAAGCAACATCTTGCCTTGTTGAATAATTACTGCTCTACAGGGATACAGCTGCTCTTACAAGACTTTTACAGGTCTTCCAGACCTTAAAAGCCTGCAATGCTTGGAGTCCAGATCTTTTGTCTCAGTAGCAGAACCTCACTGCTCTTCTGGGCACAGCATTCAGCAGGAACCCTGAACAGCAGTTCTCTATTTGCAAAAGATTAAGGAGTCCTCTTCTGTGGCAAGGTTTTGGCCAAGTGTGCTGGGCCATCTTTTCTAGGAGGCCTGTCCCAGTCTTTGACCAATCTCTTGGTAAAGAAATACTTCCTAATGTCCAGTGTAAACCTCCCCTGGCACAGCTTTGAACCATTCTCCACTTCCCCTCTTCAGGAAGCTGTAGAAAGCAATGAGGTCAAATCTTAGCCTCCTTTTCTCCAAACCGGACAAACCCAGTGTCCTCAGCCGCTTCTCACAGGGCATGCCTTCTAGCCCTGCCACTAGCTTTGTTGCCCTTCTCTAGAAGCAGTCAAGTACCTTCATATCCTTCTTAAACTGTGGTGCCCAGACCTGCACACAGAACACTGTGAGACCACACACATATCAATGCTGAACACAGCAGGATCAAACTCTTTTGACCAGCTGGTTATACTGTGTTTGATGCACCCCAGGATGCAATTTTCCCTCTTGGATGTCAGGGCACACTGCTGACTTATACTGACACTGCTGTCAACAAGCAACGCCAGATCCCTTCCTGCCGGGCTGCTCCACCTGTATATAAACTGTCTCCCAGTTTATATTTGCACCCAGCATTACTCAACTCT